AATAAAACAAAAGGCAGTCGAAGCTTCCTTGCCTCTCATCATATCAAGTTTCGTTTTCTTCATTTCAGTTGCCTGCGCCATTATCACGTCGCTCATATTCGAGTCGAAGGCCTCCAGCTGGGAAAAGTTCATTTGTTTAATTCAAAGTCGGTTGTTTAATATTGTGCAATAGTTTGCCTGGAATTGCCGATAGATGGACCCGATATCCCGTATATATCAGAAGTCGTCGCTGTAATAGTTCACGATGGCTGATGAATGCAAGCGGGCACAGGACAAAGGACATTTGTCCTGCTTAAAATTTACTTTGTGATTTTTTCTCATTTCCCCCCGCTTCAGCCATGTTTTAAGTGAAATCCGCTTTTCTGATGAGGGAAACTAGGGCCCATCCGTGCCGCCGTCGCACTGCTTCGTCCACGCTTCAAAGTCAGCACGCTTGAAACGCGCAGGAGACCAAGAGAAGCAGAACATCATGCGTTTGACCCTGATAAGGTCTGCAGCAGCCGGCCTTCTTCCTGTCTTGAGTATTTGTATTGCACTGCCGAGTTCTTCACACAGAGAAACGGCGAAATATGTTCGCTCTGCCAAGTTTGGCTTTGGCACAAGCTTCGGTGCAGTGTGGCTGATAGCATCTGTCACGAGCTTCCAATCGNGAGAGGTCTTGCCCTTCATAGTACGCCAAGCGTCCTATCATATCCTCTGCTGTGTTCGCTAACTCCTTCAGCTGATAAGAGAACAAGGTCTCCTGCGACAGCAGCGCTTGCGCCCTCTGCAGCAGCGGCATGACGTGCCCCACAGCAGGCGGAGACCTCAAGGCGCGCCTCAAGTCAACGGAAACTGAACTCGGAGACACATGCGGCTCTAGCCTCGGTAGACGTACAAACGGGTGTTCCAATACAGCATGAGACGGCGACCGCTGCAACTGACTGGCATCCGAAGCGGGCGAGGCGTAGCGTGCCGCTGCTGCAGAAGCTGCTGCTCCTGTCCCAGCAGCAGTTGCTCCTGTTCCATCAGCTGCTTCTCCTGTTCCAACAACGGCTACTGCTGCTCCAGCACCTTCTGCTGCAGTTTCACCAGCCTCTGCGACTGTTCCAGCACCTTCTGCTGCTGTATCACCAACTTCTTCTGGTGCTCTACCAGCTGGTGCTTGTGTTCCACCAGCTTCCGCTGGTGTTCCACTAGCTGCTGCTGGTTTCTCATAAGCTGCTGCCTGCGTCCCACCAGCTGTTACTGCTGTTCCACCAGCTGCTGCTGCTGTTCCACCACCTGTGCCTGCTCGTCTATCAGCTGCTGCTGCTCGTCTACCAGCTGCTGCTTTAGTTCCACCAGCTGCTGCTTTAGTTCCACCAGCTTCTGCTGCTCTTCTAGCAGATACTGGTGCTCTTCTACCAGCTCCTGCTGGTCTTACACCTTCACTTCTTTGATGAGCCAGTAAACTAGAAAGGTTCGGCGTTTCCTCGCGCGTGACGTCTACGGATGGCGCCAGTGCAGTAGAGGACACCCCAGCACTGGGCAAGGCGGATGCTGCGCTCGCTGCTGCAGCATCAGCTCCAAAAGCTGCAGCATCTTCATCCCTTGAAGCCTGTGAACGGGTAGCACCGGATGCATCAGGAGCAGCCAGTGGCAATCCAGCCATCACCTGCATGCGAATATACTCGGATCTCCACGGTCCAGGCGCTGCTGGAGCAGCAGGAGGCTGCAATGCCTCTTGAGAGGTGCTA